TCAAAGGCCTGTTGACACGCCGCTGTCCAAAGAAACTCCCTAGACTTCCCTGTCAACTCATGCAGCGGAGATGCAACTTCCGCAAAACCCCGGATGAACTTCCGGTAGTAGGAAGCAAGTCCTAGAAAACTCCTTACTTCCTTGACACATTTCGGGACCGGCCAATCGGCCACAGCTGACACCTTTCCAGGATCAGTTGCCACACCTTCGGCCGACACAGTGTGGCCAAGGTAACCTACTGACCGCTGAAACAGACTACACTTGCTGGGCTTAAGCTTAAGTCCAGCCTCCCGCAGTCTCTCGAACACAACCCTGAGACGCTGTACCTCTTCCTCCACAGTCTTCCCAAAGACAATCACATCATCAAGATAAATCAAGAGGATGTCCCACTGGAGACCAGCCATGACCTTCTCCATCAGTCTTTCAAATGTCGCCGGAGCATTGCAAAGGCCGAAAGGCATGCATTTCCACCTATACAAGCCGTTGCGAACAACAAAACTCGACTTCTGGCTGGCGTCCTTGTCAAGGGCAACCTGCCAATAGCCCGAGGCCAAATCGAGTGTGGAAAACCATTGAGCTCCTCCTAACGCATCCAACGTCTCATCTATCCTGGGAACAGGGTAGGCATCCTTGATGGTACATGCGTTAAGGCCCCTATAGTCGACACAAAACCGCTTCGTACCATCTTTCTTCTTGACCAAGACAACGTTGGCAGCCCAAGGACTATCCGACGGCTCGATGACACCCCTCTCCTCCAGGTCACGGACTTGCCTCATGATCTCCTGTTGATTACAACTCGGGTGACGCCTAGGCCTCTCTTTAATTGGCCCCGCACCGCCCGTGTTAATGTGATGCTCCACAACCTCGGTCCGACCAATATCGTGCTCACCCCGAGAAAACACATCATTATACTCCGACAGACACTTCATCACCTGATGATGATCCTCATCCCTCAGAAACCTCACGCTTCTATTGTACAGGTCCCTTAGATGTTCAGGGAGGTTACCCGCAACCTCGCCTCTTCTACAGGGAATATCATGACCACGGTCAACCTCAGCCTGACAAACCATCCCTACGGTGGTACCCCGCCGCACGACGCGCTTCTCCCTACAAGGGTTAAGCACCCGTAGCGGCAACACGTCCAAGTCACCCTCAACCAGTGACCTAGCAAGGACTAAACCTCGCTGTGCTAACTCACCACCACCCTCCACAGGCTCAACAAGAACAGGACCCTCAACAACCTCACACAACCTTGAAATGGTGCCGGGCACCACAGCCTCATGGCCAGAGGGAATCTCCGTAGTCTTAGTGACAATTACCCTCCCCACAAACGACTCACCAGCACTATTAGTGCATTTAATGTGCTCACCATTTAACCTCAGTTGAAGAGATTGCAGATCCAAACTCGCACCCAAGGGCAACAGGAAATTCATCCCCAGAATTCCTGAATACGGGACATCGGCAAAGATCACCTTCGCAGTGGCTACTGTCTTCCCTATCTGTACCTCCACCCAGGCAGCCCCAACCACTGCCAACGGACTACCATCAACTTGCTCCACCTTCAGTCCTGTCTCCAAAATTGGTCTCTGTTCCCGTGGAATTTGGTGATACACTATGCTGCTCACCACAGTGTCGGTCGACCCGGTATCGATGAGAAACCTACACTTGGTGCCCCGTATCGTCCCATCCACGAACAAACCATATTTTGCCTTTCCCCCACCCATGGGGCCTGCGACCACTACTTGGTCGCTTGCCCTACCTGAGGGTCTCTTCTGACTACAACCTCCTGTGGGCTCTGTGAACTTTCCAGCCTGCCCGCGAGCCCGCCGGTCGGCTGGACGGCGTTTCCCTGCTTGGAACCTTGCTTCGGCCGCAACCCCTTACATGCTCGCCGGAAATGACCTGGTTCACCGCAGTTATAACACCTCAGATCACCTCGCTCCTTCTTAGGAGTTTTAGGTGATCTCGACGGAGACACTACCATCTCAATTTTCCCACTTTGCTTCTGCTTCGACAACTCAGAAAACAATGACTCGACCATGGAACACACCCTCTTTTCGATGGCATGCCCCATCTCCTCAAGCCTATCCTCCGGACTACTGTCGAGTGCTCTCGCAAACTTGGTCGGCTTGCTATCTTGCCTCCGCTGCTGCTCAACTCTTTCAAAATTCTCAGTTTCCAGTGCCGCCCTAACAGCCTCATCAAGACCTCTTGGACGGGCTCGATGAATGCCCTCCCGCACTGACTGACTCTCTACAGCATCCATGAAATGATTCTTGGCAAGCCTATCCCTGGCTTCTTCCTGTATCTCAGGATAAGCCTTCACCGTCAACTCTCTAATAGCCTGACCCAACTCACGAAGAGTCTCCTTTGGTTTCTGCCGACGATGCCGTAAATCCACCAAAAAGTTCTCAGCTTGTTGACTATGACCAAACCTCTGCTGTAACAACTTCACAAGCTCACCATAGGTGTGCACGCGACCAGACGGTGCACCCTCACCAATCAACCTCAGTGCACTACCCTGTAAACTTGCGGACAAATACTTGACAGCCTGCAAATCGGTCCAACCATTCACTTCCCGACAGGATTCAAAATGCCTGAAATACTCATTCCAAACAACCTTCCCGTCATACCTGTCTGGCACAATGTGAGGGCGACGTGACGTCCCACTCACATACCCCGGACAATTAACCTCACCAACTACCCGCGGCTCCCTCGTGAGTTTCCAAGGAACTGCTTCAGCGTCACTGCAACTCTCTGTGAGGTTGCTAGTACACCTCGTTGGCGGTCGTGTCGCAAAACTCATTAAGTCCGCATGCAGCGTCTGAGCATCACTCGCAACAGCCCCTACAAACGGATTTGTGACTGGACTCAGTCCAAAATCACCACCAGACCTGACCCCAGGCGAAGACTTTCCCTGTGGTGTACTGGTACTATAAAGGTTCGCCCCACCAGGTTTAGCCAAACCTCCTTTGGGTTCACCCTCAAATGAAGCATACCCCGAGGTTTCCCTCGGCAACCTGAAATTGATCTCCGAATCAACCTCAGACCGAACACGACCCTCTTCAGCAGGCGTGCTCGAAGTTTTTCCCTTCCGGAAGTTCCGCCGTAGCTCAGCTTTCAACTGTTGAACCTCCCATTGCAGCAATTGATTCTCTGCCTCCAGGGACTTGTCAGCATTAACTCCCGGGGAATCAACCTCACCCGAAGTGACAACACTACCCTTGAAACTGTCGCTCATACTGACGTCTGCAACCGACAACAGTTGCAGTGAAAACCAGAACAAGCAAAATGAGTGCAATCAATAACAAACAAAATATTGACAACACCTCACAAGAGGGTTATTAGTAAACCTCAGCAACCTTACACAGGATGCTGTCAACCTCGTGAAAAGTAAAACTAAAGCATCCCACTTCTGACACCATTTGTGGCGCGCTCGCTTGTCTATGGATAAGGAATTACACCCACACCAACAAGAGCTGACTATCCCACAAAAATATTTAATGACCTTACATGCGCATGAGCGGTTACACGCAAATAAGGGGGGACTACGTCACGAACGGAGGATTCAAGTCCTAGGCCTGTCCGTTTGTTGGAAATATACCAACGCTAAAGGAATACCAGTTCACGTGGCAAGCAACCTAGAGGTGACCAGGGAACCTCAATAAACCTCACTACACATGTGTCTTAGAGAACAAGAAACAACTCTTTATTCGGTCCAATACACAGGCTTAAAGCTCAATGAGTGGCCAATAAACCTCGCAGAACAACGTTCCCCGCTGCTCTAGGTTTATCCTTATAAGTAAGCCTTACACAACAATAACCTCTTATTATACAATGCTTACAACAACCAGCCTAACCAGGCTCTATGTAATTAACCTCGTTGACTATCTAGAACGATTATCCCACAGTGGCAAGAACCTCACTGTGCACACCCAGTGCGATCAACAGCAACAAGTTATGAACTGCACACACTGATCAAGACTTTACCAGAGTAACCCTCACATGCAACCTAGCATACAGCAATCACTGGGCTCAGGTTACGGAGCGCGGTTTAGAACCCCGAGGTGACTCCTGGCGACAAAGGTCGACAGGCGACAGGCAACCCAATTCCCGACCAGGGAATACTGCTGCACATACCACACGAACCTTAGGTCTCCAGTCACCAGCTCAACCCACAGCCACCCAGGCTAATTTCCCCTTACAACAAAAGGTCTAGCTTGCTAATTATTACTCTAAAGTCTCACCATCCGCCTTCAACAGCACGCCGCGATGTCCACCCTTCCGATAACAGCGGCGAACATGCACGAGGTTAACTCAGTAATCGGCAATAATTGCGTTCCGAAGTTCACTCAACAGCGTCTGCAGACGGACTGCCTAAAATCTCTGACTACGCGCTATACCCTACGCACGACGTCGGGGAACCAGGCGAGCCATGGTAAACTCGCACCAGTCCACCGGCTGTTTCGCCACAATAGCATGCCCAGCACGTTTTCTATGCGTTAACATTTTGTTAAGTAATTACATTTGTATCAAAAAAGGTCTCTCAAGGGAATATACATTTGTTTTTGCTGTAATTTCCAGAAATGGATGGATTTGGGGGTTCATTAATTTATAGCAAATGTTGATACACTGACCTGTTTACAGTTATGTGTTCATAAATACTGGGAAAACCAAGGAAAAAAAGTTCTGTTCTTGTAGTCTGGTTCCCTGACCTTACTTCAGACGAAATGGAGCAGTTTATAGGTTGTCAGGTCAGGGAACCAGGCTAGAAAGCTTACACTTGTTCAAGCATGGCTAACCGATTGCAGAAAAAATTGTTAAATTGGGGGCAGTATTAACGAACCAGTAAGGTTTTTTTCCAATGATGGTCAGCTGACCATCTTCGGAAATTGATAAAATTCCACTTTTCTTGAAAATGACAGCACACCAGGTGCCATGATTTTACCGGATGCTTGAGACTATCATTCACTAATAGTCCAGTAAGGTATTTCATAATAATTTGGTACTTTTGTGTTTTGATGTTTGCAAATGTTTTATATTGCCTTTAAATTATAACATACATGTATATCAATGCTAAGTTAAATTTACATACATTCTGAGCAATGTTTTGATAATGGTTGTACATGTATATCATCATCTAATCATTTAAACCTCATCCTATATTTTTTTGTAAGGAAACTTCCCCAAGTCTGCCAAGATCTCCCAACCATCTTGCCTTAGAGCAGTGGATATTTATAGTAGATTAAAGCAGTTAGATTATGGCAGATTTTGGAGGTTTTTCGATTTTGTAGGAAACCTTCCCAAAATCAGACATCTGCCGAAACACTTAAAGCAGTGGACATTCACGGGACTAAAACAAAGTTTGGCCAACACACCCCCATGCATGTTCAGGAAATGCATCAGGGGCCTGTAATCCTGAACCCTTCAAAATCTAACAAAACCAGAAGGTGTTAGATTATGGCAGTTTTTTTATTGTTCTGTTTTGTAAGAAACCTTCCCAAAATCAGGCCACATCTGCCAAAACACTTTACAGTAAAAAAAGTGGATGTTCACGGGACTAAAACAAAGTTTGGCCATCTCATCCCGATGTTAAGTAATTGTAGGAGGGTTTGTAGTAGTACTGAACCCTTTAAAATCTAACAAAACCAGCTAGTGTTGGATTACGGCAGAATTTGGAAGGTTATAGTCAAGATGACTGTTTTTTGTAATTAAATTTTTACAAGAACTCTGTCGAATTATCAACGGAACGTCTGACAAGGAACATATTAAAGAAAATCTGGGGGAAAAACGATTCTCCAAAGATCATCAAAAGCCACTGTTTGTCTAGTCAGTTACTACTTGTATTTTTGTTAAAATTAATTAGGACAGTTTCCAAAGAGACGCTTAAACAGATGTTGCAAACTTTTTTGCCTAGCAAAATTCAGCCAAGAATCAATTAAGTAAATTATAATGGTTTTTTCACACGTTCTTTCATATTTTCTTTTCTTTATTTTATCTACGAAGCAAAAGTCTCTGAAATTTGGTGTAAATATGGACCCAGTGGCCATTTTTGAAACCGTGGCTTCAAGTTCAGGCTCCGGCTTCATGAGCATACGCCTTTGGCTGCAACAGGCTTGGTAAAAAAAAAAACACTTTTGAAGCATCAGATAGGAAGCCTAAGCCACAGCCATTAAAATTTGGTCCAAGCATCCACAGCTCCCAAACGGCACTAATGCCGGAGCTGCAGCCCAGGTTTCAGAAAAAACTTCAATGAACGGAATCAATTATTATTTGGTATCATACATTCTATAAAAAAAAAAAACCTCATCACGCAAACACTAGTTACCAAGTGAGGAGACACATCTTTGCTCCTGGTTTTTCAACTACGATCGCCATGCCTCGTTTCTTGAAATTTACTCAAAATGCTTTGATTGTAGGTTCCTAAATCCCAAAAACCTGGTGATTAAAGTAGTTAATTCTCAACGTCTATCCCACATATTGCCCATATGTATTTTCATTCCTGTGGTGATATTTCTGTCTTCCTTGAAAGCTTCCATCACATTCGACGCGGCACTTTTCCCGAGTTCCCGCTGAAAGCCAGAGTGTACATTGAAATTCCGCCATCATGTTTTTCGACTTCCTGAATCCAACAAGATTTTCCATCAGGGAAGAGTATCCCATCTTTCACAAACAGCTTGTCAACATTCAAATTCTGCACATCTGGCCTTTCCATCCTGACCTCATTCCATAAGATCGCACATTCCTGGTTATTCCATGCTATTCCGAGCTATTCCATAAAGTGCAACACACATCCTGTAAGGATTCCGTGCTTTTCCAACTTGTTCCAGCCAGGTACTAGCAAGAGTTCTCTGTCGCTTCAGAGGGGACAGAAAGAACTATTTAGGGAACGAAGGCACAGATAAGGCCAGTTAAAAGAATATCCTAGTTTATCATCAGTGAAAGTACCACCAAACAGCTGCCTCTTTGAAATTTTAATGAAGTATTTTGTTCTTTTGATTTTGATATGCTCAAAATTAAATAAGTCAAGAAACACAAGAAAGCAAGAGTGCAGAGAAAAGAAAAAAGAAGAGAAAGCTACTCCAATTCTGGAAAAGTCACTGCATATAAATAAGCAAGGATATATCTTTTCAACTGACTCGAGCTCAGTGAACAAGTACAATCCCGAGGGTTTTTTTTTAGGGGGGGGGGGAAGGTTTCAGAAAAATACACAGGGATAACTGAACACATTCTGGTAAACACGGTTTTGACTGTCAAAAAACTATGGCAGGATTTGGTGTCGAAATCACACAAACGGATATCGGTTACTAGACTTCAAACACTTGAATCGAACCAGGAGCGGAAGATGAGGATTGAACCATGCAGAACTACACGAATGTCCAAATCTATGGCAGGATTTGGTGTCGAAATCACACAAACGGGAATCGGGTTACTAGACTTCAAACACTTTAATCAAACCAGGAGCGGAAGATGAGGATTGAACCAAGAACTACACGAATAAAAAGGTTACTTGACAAACTAACAAAACAAAATAGAACACGAATACACGGATCTGATGATTGGTAATATCATGCAGGAATAACTTTGACTATCCACTTACTAGTTGTAGTGCTCCACGGATTCGGTCTTAAAGGTGTTAATGCAAAAGAGTCATTTTCCTGAATGACTAAATGCTGCAATTGGAAGGGAGAAGATAGTTAACATATATCACAGCTGCACCAAACAATTGTCCTTGAAGAATCCGCCGGATGAATAGCACTATGATAAAGTGGCTTTATGACTTGCCACAAGAGGGCACTGTTACTCTGAAATATTTTAGGCATCAATTACAAAATAAGATAAACCTACTTTGTACCTACCTTATTGGAAGAACAATTTTCAATGTTAGAAAGACCGTTATTTCTCGTTTCTCGAGGTGGAAGTTTGTCAGACCAATCCTGGTAAAGACAAACAAAACAAATATCAAACCCAAAGAAAACGCTAAATGTACATTGGGATAAAATGTCCTGCTCATAGACAACAACAATTGACCCTGAACATTTCCTCTATTTGTACTGATGTTGTTCATACTCCCACCACAAGTGCAAGAACTAGCAACTGTGTTATTCTTTCAAACTTAAAAAAGTGGTGTTCAATTTACACTATTACGATACCTATTGCACCTGTCAACACGCGGTGTAAATGTAACACTGCAGTGTAAGAAGCCTTAAGTCTCCTCGTTGACTCACCAACGTGGTCCTCCCAGCCTCCTTCTCCCTCTTCTTATAGAACGACGGCTTGTGCCATATGTGCTCTATGATGACCACAACAAAGGACAGCACTGCTCCAATGATGAGGACATAGAAGGCCCCGGCTATCTGGTCCAGGTTGATGTCGGCGGCTCCACGGTTAGAGCTCATAATGACCGTGTCCTCCGCACAACTGGACTCTCGGTCGAACCATTTCTTTCTGAGCTCTTCTAGGATGCCCTTCTCCTGCAACCTCAAGATGCTGCCAAGAAGAAAAAAATCATGAGTGATTTTAAGCTAATTATGTTCGGGAGAGACAGAGTAGAAAAGCACAACGTATCTGCTTTCTGGTCGTGAAACTTGGTAGGAATGTAGAACCTAATTTACAGTGCTGCGCAGCAAAAACTGCATTGTTATTTTTTTTCTCAGAAGACAAATTGGAAAATTGTTTTGTCTGAAATGTAGAAACCCCCAGAAAATCAGGCAGGAAATGAAAGACCCAATCCAAATGTCGGCTCAAGTAGGATCGAAACTTGGTCCCAGAGGTGGAAGGCAAGGAAAGTACCATAATCCTGAACAACACTCGTCCAATATAAATTGGAATACTGATCATGATTGTGGAGTAGCTTACACCATGGAAATCTCGTCTCTCCATGGCAGCCCGCGCGGCGTGGCGATCCCGTACCCTTTCAGGTTGAAAGGCTTCCCAACCGTCATGACATTACACTCCTTCTGTTTGATATAGTCCAAGATGGGCGCGTCCCAGAAGAACGCATAATCCTCGGTCTGTACCCTCTTGTACCCTGCCTCGGCGTTGGGCACCCAGGGGTTGATCTTAGAGGTCGACATGAAATTCCACATGCGCTCGTAGATACCCTGGTGCTTCCGCTTCTCAAAGAAGCGATGGAGGCTGGAGTTGACGATGGTGCCGTAGACTACGGACTTCTGCATGGCCAGGTCTTCGAGAGAATTAATGGGGTTCTCCATGCGTGTGACCGTCAGGAAGGCGGCCAGGTTGGCGGTGTAGGTGGCGGTGATGATCAGGGCAAAGAACCACCAGAACGCGCTCAGGACGCGGCCCGAGATGGATAGTGGGGAGGTGTCGCCGCCTGAGCCAAGAAAACCAAGATAATTAAGAAATAACGTTTATCTTTAACAGAAGCGTATTCAAGATGTATGAAAACGGCACTAACGCGACCAGTATCTCCGTACCTAGTTCACAAAAACCTACAGATTTTCGTTTATGGAATGGAAGTCATATCCTTGATAACACTATAAAATCTGGTGAGGTATATGAATTATGGGTGCACTTTGAAATCGAGACCTTTTGTCTTCTGTTTTTTAATAGATACTTTCACTTTAATAGAAAGATTTAAATCTTGCCCAACACAGTACCAATCAAAAGGGCAGCCGCGGCAGAATTTTTTCAACCATAATAATTTCAATGAAACATTTTTCATTCATTAAAACAACATCTCAATACTAATCCTAAAATTCAGTTTATTTGTCTGGGGTACTGCAATCTAGTTCAATAAGCAATATTCTGGCCCACATTTTGGTATTACATTCCATTTGTGTTTTAACCTTTAAAAATATCAGTTGCTATGTAAACAAAATTTGATGAAACAATGCTAAAATGAAACAGATTTTCACAAAAATACTGTTTGAAAACTGAAACGAAAGTCCAGAGATGCGTTGTAATTGTTCTTAATCAAATAAATTCAGTATAAAATAAAACATCCATTATAAAAGCGTGTGAGCTTATTACTTTCACAAAACTGTTTGACTTTCGGCGCATGAATATCTAGAAAAGTACACTGGCCTCTTGTAAAAAGAATGGCATGGTTAAGAAGCTGTTCAAAATTCACAATGCACAATTTACCAATGGAAAATTGCGGAACCATACCGTACTTTCAGTCCTTGCCAACAAAATAAAACTAAGGTAAATGGCGAACTGGAGGTAATCCTGATATCACAACTCGCCTTGGGAACTTCGTGTGAATTAGACAAAAGGTCAAGTCGGACAGCTAGATTGGGACAGGGACACAGACCAGCAAATAAGACAAAACACAAACGGACTAAGAGAACAAACATTTTTGGTCAATTTTCGAGGACAGACAGATAGGCAGACCGACTGACCGACCACGAAGCGACATGTAGAAGCTCCTGCCGGAGCTTAAAAACGACCAACATAAATTACCCTGCTGCATGCAGGAGGCGAAAGCGAACCACATGCTGTTCTTCAAGTCGAAAGCGTCCTGGTTAGGACTGTTCTCTCTGCGGAAGCTGCTGTAGGGACTGAGCCGATCTACGATGTAGATCAGCACTCCAACCACGAAGAGAGAAGCCAATACGCAGCCCCAGACCTGGATGTGGAGGGGCTCAAGAAAAGCAAAGACGTTGGTTTTCTTCTGGGGTTTCTGCATCAGGATGCCCACGCCGTAGTTCATGTAGGGTTTGGTGAAATCCACCACTTCTTCCCTGTCTGAGTTGATCACCATTCCGGCTACCGCTAAGTCTGCCCTCTATGTTAACAGACACAAACAAAACAAATTGGTGGAACTTAATAGTTTCCCTTATTTCACCTTTTATAACTTCAGTATCGAGACATGGGGACGAAATCAGCCCACTGTAAGTACTAGCTAGATTAAGTAAAATTTGATTTTTAAAGTAGCAGTAGGCCTATCACCCTCCTTATTTCTAAAGCACGTTTGTACTATTTTTTTTGCATGTAGATCTAGGTAGAAAATAATGAAGACAATATTTTGAAAGTGACTGATAAAATCGAAATATAGGTTTTGATACCTGTTACTTAACAATGACTGGTGTTTTTTAAACTGTTTTATTTAACACTTCCGATGCCATTTTAACACTACATTTGCTATTTCAACACTGCAGCTATTGCAGATGTAATTCTTACATCTCAGGTGTAATTTTGATACAGCCTACGTCATTTGACACTGCCTGGTGTTGTTTCGACATTGTTGGGGTCATTTCAAAAGTGCAACTGTAATTTTAATACTACAGGTGTTATGCTAAAACTGCAGTGTACCAGTGCAGGCTATAAAATGCATTATTTTACACCTACACCATAGTACACTTCTCCGATCAGACCATTCCACGTCCCGTCCTCGTTCTTGCCTCCGTAGTTCCCATCCGGTACAAGGTAGAGTTCGTACTTGGCGTTCATCTCGTCTGCAATCAGCTCCAGCATGTCGATGCAGAAACCCGAGTACTTGTGCCCGTTTACTGTCTCGTCCCGATTGACGAATGGCGCCTCCTGCATAAATGTGCATGTTGATGAGCAAACGTGAATATATCAATGATGCTATTTGCATGGATGCAGATATTGCTAATAATTATGAGATGTACAATTGTCAGATGCGAAGTTAAACAAATCTCTCCAGTTCTACAAAATATTTAAGGAAAATATTTGATATAATTGTAGATTAATGTAGTGGTCAGACAAATATCAAGCCATCCAACGTCAGATTTTAAGAATTGTGTTCTTACCACAACCGTAACGATCCGAAATGTGGTATTGTTAGTGATAAAAGCCTCGAAACTTCTCGTGAAGGGCGTCTTCACCAAATTCAAGCGATTTTCCGGATCCCAGGTTCCGATCTGAAAGAAAAATACGTGTTTTAAAAAGATTTGCTAGTACATCATACGCAAGTAACCGTGGTAATCATGTCTCACCAAATCGTATCCGAAATCTGTTCCCTATAAGTGACAAAATGGATTTCAAAATAGTGCATTCAACCCATATTTTTTAAGAAATGTCAAAAAGATATATATATATACTATGCTGTGGAATGGAGGGTTGCAGGTGACCAATAGCAATTTTACGAATTTGGGAAAAATCGTAGGAAAAAACATGACGAATTTTCAAACAGATTCAATAGTGGCAAACATTTTCAATAAAAAGACTGGCAAATACTGTAACCACAAAGTGTTACAATAACACTAATGGTGTTACGTTCATTCCGACTGTTGAATCAGAAGAATAAGTCACTATACTGATAACACAGTGTTAATTTTACACCGTGGAGTACACTGCAATAGTTGCGGTGTATATTGAAACCCTGGTCGAATTAAAGATACAAGAAGGTATTAATTTTACATTACAGTTTCCGTGGTGTTACCTTCCAGGCCTTGGTTTGATTCCGGCTGCTTTCTACCGTGATGACGTCCACCGCCATCTCGTCATTTACACCACTGTGGTTAAATCGTATCCTTCCCATTAGGCCTGTTGTTTCCATCTATTTCCCAAAGTGAACAACACATAACAAATTCACTAAAAAAAGGTTTATAAATTCATTATTCTCGGTGTCTGGAGGTCAGATTCAAATTCCACTCAAGTCATTTTCTTGGTTAAACCTACTATTTAGTCAATTTCCTTGAAATTTGTGTTGTTAATTTCAGATTTTTTGTGTTCAATAATGTCACAGCATCTAAATTTCTGTAAACACGGGGTAAATACAGATGAAAACTCACGATTCATATTTTATTTGGCAAGACTGGTTTTGTTCCTATAAAACAGTCAGATAAATTCAATGATTTAAATTATTTAAACAGTTATGGGAAAAAACCATACATTACCAAATTAATCATCATCATCATTACTCTAATAATTATATCGTTATAGAAAGAGTGCAGAGAACAACTGATATTTTCCACTGCTCAATAACCGATAGCCAATAATCAATTATCAACAACTAGTTTTGTTTCCTTTAAAAAGTCAGAAAAATTCATTCATTAAAATCACTTAATTTGAATTTGTTAGAAATAATTATTAACAAATCGTCATCGTCATCATCATCATCATCATCATTGCTTTAATAATTATCACCAAAGAATGAGTACATAAAGGAATTGTTATTGTCCACGGCTCAATAATCAATATCCACTAATCAATGATAGATCCATTGATTAATTACCCTGTGAAGCATTTTCCTGAGGCGGGTCCCGCCTTTCCAGGATTTGGGCTTGTTGTCATAGCAATGTTGGTTCTCAGGTTCGATGTACTTGTCACGCTCCACCTGTTCGTCCAGAGCTACCGCCAAGACCCGAACGGCGTCGTACATGTAGGCTGCTTTGAACTACATCACCAGGATAAAAAGGGTAAAAATGTTAACCTCATAAACCTAAATTCCTTGGGATTTTTGCTTCATTCCCGATTTCTCAAAAATCCACCACTGCCTTTCTCTATGCTAAATTGTTGGAAGAACAGACAAAGGAAAAGGGAAGATGAACGATAGAAAATCCTTGATTGACAACATAAACAAACCTCTGTGTGTGATAAGCAGTAGAAAAAATGTTTTGATATTTTGTTTACTTTTAATGTCAGGGTTCTAACCCCGACTTAGTAGGATTAGAACCCAAAACCGCAACAGTTTTACGTCCTCTTCAATTAAGTTGAACGTAAGGGTATCAAAGTCTCACTAGATGGGACTCGAACCCCAATCCAAATAAAACTGTTTTGTGTGTTTCATTTTCACTTCATTTACATGTGGTAATACACGGAAATGTGTATAAAATGTATATATCTTCTATTCGTCACCAATGTATAAAGATGGATTCGAACCCCAAACTCCAATCCTATATGATGGGTATGCTTTGGGTTCTCACTTCAACCGAATCGTTAATAAATGTAGGCATACGTGGAACTTAGTATGGAACGTAATGTCCTCTTCTTTAAGCCATTGATAAGATGAATTCGAACCCCGAACCACGAACTTGTTTTGTGAGTACGGTTGGGTCTCACTTCAGCCGTATATTCGATGATAATATTAAAATGTATGTATAAATACACGTCCTTTTTTTCTTCACCAACACATTAAATCCTTACTAGGAGGATTTGAACCCCAAACCACAAACTTGATATGTGTCTGTGATTGGATTCTAACCTGGACTGTGTTGAGATACCCAGGCGACAAATAAGTAGCGTTAGCGTCCTCCTCCCTGTCTATGTCCGGGTACAGGATCTGCCATGCGCCGTAGAAATCCGGAGGTTGGGTCTGAACTTTGACCTGTTGCTTCATCAAGGTGATGATGCCTTCGGAGCCGTTAAGGAATCTCATCCCATCTTCCTCTGAGATGTCCTATAAAGGACATGGAAAAGTATTATTGTTGTAGTCGATTCCATCACATGTTCTCAAAGACCATCACCAGTCAATTAAGGGTCTTCAGTCTCAAGTCAAATCACAAGCTCTCCCAATGAACTGTGATTTATTATCCTATTTGCTTGTAACCATGGACTTGTGGAAAGACTTGTGATTTATTTATGATCGGAGCAATCAAGAGTGTCCTATCGTCAGATGCCACTCTCATTGGCCTTTTATGGTTCACCGAATTTAACAATCTTTGTGGTTTGCGAAGCTAAAATGTTTGTATAAAAAACTGTATTAAAATACAATTTTAATGACCATCACAAACAGGTAGTGTGTCTGAATCTCTAAATTGTGTTTAAGTTTTGGTATAGGCTTACTCTATTTGTATACCTATTTTAGAATAGGACAAGAAATAAAATCAATCAACCAAAAAATACTATTTTTCTACTCTAGTGTAAAAATATTGAAATGACAATTATAATGTTAAGCCTTTTCTTTCCAAATACAGCAGACTGGTGACTTTTATGCAATAACTTCTACATGGATAATCTACGTTGCAAGGACCATAGCAACGTCAGGGAACCAGACCAAGGTGCGTGTAGCCTCGTTGCTAAGCAACAGCCTCATCTTAAGACTTGGATATACTAGTTTTATCTCGCACATTAATCATCGATGGAGTCCTTAATAGCTCACCCCGCTCGTCGTTGTGAAGCCTTCGGGTTCGTCGTCTACGAGCATATCCCAATCCTGCGTGAGCATCGGCGAACAAGAGAAATAAAAAACCCTGTTATTCTGGAGACTTTTTGTTTTTATGATTAATGGCGGTTGGCATGGCGACCGCAATGCAACAAGAGAGGCAAGGAGGAGGAAATGAGGGTCGGGAAATGAGAGTTGTTCGAGGGTAAAAAAAAAAGGAAAATGTGGGAGGAATTTCCAACAGCTGCTGTTGATGATCATGGAAACGTGTTAAGGAGAACCTTGGAACCGCAAAAATTGAGTTAGAAAAGGCGGATGATCCGGTTTTAAAAATTCAGGACAGAGTGAACAAAATAGAGAGAAAATGTCTGCTAGGAGGAAGACTAAAATTGCTCAACCAACCATCATGACATATTCTAGTGAGTTTTTCTTCTGATTATGCGTGCACCGATTCCGGCTTTCTTGGTTGGGGGAGACAGAATATGCAATTCGATAATTGTTAAAGTAACTTTCACTGTTATTCCTTTGATTTGTATTATAAATATGTACACGTGTCTATGATATACATTAATTATTACCTCCACCAATGACGTATATATGTTTTCATCGGATTTGGTTAGTTGTTGGTTGCTTGGTTAGTTTATCTGTTAACAAGATAACTCAAAAAGTTATAGACAGATTTTTAGGGGCGGTCCTTGGTACAAGTACAAATCGATTCGAAGTGAACCGGATCTGGGTCTGGATCTAGGATTTTTTTAAAAAGGATTCTCCACCATTTATGTGAGTATTACTTTTGGGTGTACTGACAATATGGCGGGGAACTGTTTAGCCTTGGCGGAGGTTTGCGCTCTCTGAGTGCTTTCTAGTTCATATTTGAATGAATTTCTTGAACCCTTGCAACGGGAAAACCACCACTTTCCCATTCTCTCCAAAGAGTAAAAATTCACTCCGTCCAACTGGAACTAGAGCCAAGACGATTTAGATTTAAATTCACTCAGTGGGAAAGATTCAGTTTTCACTCGAGCTCCAACTGAGTGATATCCTGCACCAAATTACTTCCTTCTAGAATTAGAGTGACTTTCTTTTTTAAATCGTCTTGTCCCCAAGTTTCGCTCTTTGGAATTAAGAGTTCTCTCAAACCGACCGGGCAATGATCTTTCATGATGAACTATAATCGTTCTTAATAATCATTTCTAATTTATTATGCAAAAAAAATTGCAAAAAAGACTGCGACGGGCCTGATTACACGTCCAACTTGCTCCCCCCCCCCAAAAAAAATAATAATTTAAACAAAATCTTGAGTTTATTCACACAAGCGAGGGGCACAATATTTCGTGTTTATGCATAAATTGTTATCCATCACGCGTATATGATTTAATGTGTTCTTTTTCACGCTCAATTCTATGCATGCACACATCAGGAAACATTCATTATTGGATGCATGCTGACAAAAAGCGGGGAAAAAGTTCAACTTGAGTTCAACAACGGTAAGTTCGTTGAACATTGCTTTTGTTAAGATTAAATCAACTTTTCAGAATGCGAATTTAGCTCATTCTTCCCTTTGGGGAAGGGGGTCCATTACTATTTTTTTAAATAAAATTCTGATTTTCTAAAACTACAAATTTCGAAGCATTTTTGCGACATAAATTGTGTCGCAAAGCTATTTTGTAAAGTTAGACGAAGTGAAAGCAATTTTATTTTTGAGAATAATTTCATGATAAAACAATCATATGCACTTTGGACTCTTACGAAATCTGGTCTTTTGTACGTTATAAGGACTCTAATCCTCACACGTGACCGTTACTTTCCTTATTTTTTTTACATACGCATGCGCAATACTACCGATGAGTCTGTATTTCATAGAGTCATAATTTCACACTACACCATATCAGTTTTCTTTATTAATTGTTTTTTATTAAATAACTCAAGAATGTATTACTTTCCAATCCATACCGTTTTAGGGAAACGTTCACTTCATAGGTTCAGGTTGTTCCTGTGATGGAAAATTACCGTCATAGCAACAGCCCATATCTTGAACGAAAATGCTGTCGCCCTTTAACCGAGTCATCATATAAACTGACAAATGGGAGGAAATGTTTCCTATAATATCGCGTGCTCAAAAACATTGCGTGTCGTGCGTCACGATGACGTGCGTCGCATAGGCGATAGCATTTGCCGGAAACAGAGAAAATGAGAGATAATGAGTGATGGTTGGCTAGACCGATTACCAACAACCAATTTTTATCAGGTTGCGTCATCCGAGCGAAGGAAATTGCAAGCCGGGAATATTTTTTTCGGGTCAAGAATGATCGAGCTACTTGTTTTCTTCCTTTCTTTCTCGCTTTTCAAAACATGAAGTCTTATGTACATTTTTGCGATGAACGATGAACAAGCCATTTAAAAAAGAAAAAGCTAAATTTGAGTCCTTCGGTTGCTGAACAAATGCCAGCATCTGGATCATGCGATGACAGGTCCTCGATATAGTGATTTGTATTGCTTTTGTTTTCCCAATGCCCATCTTGAATGTGATGTATATTTTTTTATGTGGTATGAATAAATAATAATATTAACAAAGAACAAAATCTTGATGAACGTCCTTTAAATCCTCTAAACTTTGCCCAGCAATGGTACGAGCGCTATATGCAGGTCATTTTCTTTGTCGGCTTAAGACTTCAATCCGACTCCTTGAAAATGCGGGTTCGCAATAGTTTTGAATTGTAAATTCAATGCCTTATAATGGAGTGATGATGGAGTGTAAAGTCGGAGACGAGTCCGCGGATTTGAAAAAGTCCCATAGACTAATCAAGTCGCGTCAATCAGAAAGCATTAAAAAGGTGTCGCCAAGCTTGTGAACTATTAAAATTTTAGTAGCAAGTGAATTTAGTTAATAAAACCCTATCCGGTTCGTCAGTGACTGCGTCATGGACGCGAACGCACCACAATTACTAGCTAAACACACCACTTTGCACCACTTCCGGTTCCACTGGTTCCAATGCTACGTCATTTGCAGTGGGCGTGGTTTAATCTAATCTGAATTAAGTGACGTCAAACCTACGAAATGGATTGGTCGAAGGAACAACGAGTGCGCGTGTACGATCTGTGCGCATGCGTGGAACTAGCTCGGTAACGGCTTCTAATTGCGGGCCCCTGATATAGACATGAATGTATAGACAGAATCAATTATTCCCAACATAAAACAGAGAAAGCGAGACATAGACACATGTCGTGGTTATCACATCAAGTCCGGCGAACTAATGGGAATATCTCCCCTACAGAACTAGGCCGAGCGGAAGTGTTTTGCAGGAAAAGCATTTCCCCAACCTCGCTCTTAGTACAGATTAAAGCAATCCCTGGGCCTGCATTCGAACATCACATCGTAGCTATATGAAACGTATAGTAGAGGTAAACTCTGTCACAAAAACTTTAACAAAAAATCTTCCAGGGTTGTAAAAAGGATCTAATGACTACTAGAGGGGCGGGGAAAAAAAGAAACGTCAGTGAAACTAACAGTGAAACACCATCTTCAACATCAATTGTGGCTAATGCATTGCCCTCAGAAAAATGGAAATAACCTGTGGTTGAGGACAAACACATGTAATGGGAAATAGAGCACTACAAAACAACTGCATGAAAAGGCTGAACTGGAGGGGGGGGGTTAACACAAAAAATGCATGCGTTATAGGCCTACATAACATTGCCTATAAGCAGGCCTATAAGCAGTTGTACATGGTACTGCGCATGTCATCATTCACAAGTATACCAAACATTAATACAAACGAAAGCTGATCAACTCTTACATGAACTAGTATTACACCAAAGTATGTAAAAGCTAATCGTCATGACAGTCTGAAACTGCCATCGTGCTGAATTTCGGAACAGCACTATAAAGACCACTGAAGCGTGCATGCGCACTGCGTGAAAACAAAGTCAGCACAGTGCCACCGAGCCCACAAACCCAAAACAAAGAATTTGTCACTGACGAGTAATCTTACCTGCGTTGTAATAATCCATTGATATTTTCCCACTGCCATACCAAAACGGGCAGCCTTTGTAAACCAAACAAAATGCATGAGTTAATGGTTTTATAAATCAACTTTGGGACGACATCATTTTCATCATTATATACGGTATATGGTGATTGTAAAATTTGAATGTCGAGCGCCTTATTTCTTGTCCAAGAATGTCAATTATTCCATTCATTAACCCAGTCTATCCCACTCACCCACCCATTAAACGTACCCCGCCATCCATTAGCCCCATTCCCACTCACTCCCATTAGCCCCACCCACCCACACAGGAAATTTGCCTGCAAACGGGGACCCTCTATTGTCCCCTTTTTCTTAACTTCAACTTTTTAGGAAGACCTCGAGTGTTTTGTACACTATCGCAAAATTGGGGACCTTCGGGAATTGGGGACCTTATTTTCCTCTATATTGCTCAACGTCCCCTATTGAATGCAGGAACGTAAGCAAACTCATCCGCCCCACCCACGCATTTACTCCAAACCATCCATCCAACACACGCATCCCCTTCATCTACCAGTCCCATCCTCCTGTCCACTCACCCACTGACCCCACTCACCCATTACACACTTTAATATCTAACTTCCCCCCACACACAAGTGAACCCACCAACCAGTCTCACCAAAGGCCTCTGTCGTGCGTAACCAGCTTCATGGCCTGCGCACGATCGAACAAGGTAGCCATGTTCCTGATGACCGATCGTCCTTCATCCATAATTAATACGCCCTAATATAGCCATCACCCACCCACCTACCCAACATCACTCACCCAGCCAACAACCTCGTGTGCACGCAACAACTTCATGTGCACCAAACCCAAGGTTTCCTCTCGCCTGCGCACTCAGCTTCGTACCGCAATGTGCCGGATCACGGAAGGCAATCATAGTGTCTGATGTCCGAATCCTTCACCCAACACCAACAAAACCACCAACCCAAAACCAAGCCACCCAACACCCAGCGATCCATCAACCCCAAGGCGCCCTCTCGCCTGCCTAATACGTCACCCTCCATCTACCCCGCTACCCATCCACCAACCAACCACTAACCCGAGGTCCTCAAAAAAAACGCGAGGTGCTCCAACCAACCCAAGGTGCACCCAAGGAAGCCCGAGGCGCCCTCTCACCTATACCTAATGAGCTTCATGCTCCGTGTCCTATCACAGAAGGTTATCATGTGCCGGATGTCTGAATCCTTCATCCTCCACCTACCCCGCCACCCAGCCACCCACCAACCAAAGGTACACCTTACAACCCTAGGTGACCCATCAACCCAAGTTTCACCCATCCATAGAACTAGGACCCAACCGAAAGGCGCCCTCTCACCTGTCTAATCAGCTTCATACTCTGTGTCCGATCACAGAAGGCAATCATGTGCTTTACATCCGAGTCCTTCGCCTTGTGTAGGATATTAATGATACCCAACGCTCCGCCTGAAGGCTCCGAGGCATCCACGCGATATAGAGTCACCTCCAGGGGCTTACGTTCCTCCGACTGCGCAGCTAGATGCAAAAACTGCTGCACGTTCTTATAAGCTAAGGCAGGGAATATATAGGGCAGACACAAAAACTCATTTATATGTTTAGCAGGTAAGCACTAAGAGAGCTGGTTTATATGTAAAAAAGGTTTGGGTATATATAGTTAGGATATACGCGGGGGAAATTGAATCTTGAGAAAGTATTAGGCGATGGTTTATTCTTCCGGTGAGGTCTGAATTTCATGCCAGGTATACGCATAAAAGGTAATTTGTACGACGAGTAGAGTTGAAGCAAAATACGATATTATAGGGTTACAGCTATAAGAGTTGAGGCTTTGCATGGTGGGGTATCGGTATCGTTTCGGTTTGCGGTAAATCCTACTTAAGGAGTAGCATCTCCAACTATCTTCAGTCTCCTGACGATGACTAGAGCAGGCTAGTCGAAACGTTGAGACCAAAGACAAGTTCGTTTAGAACTTACAGCAGGACTGTTCTTATCAGAACAAAAAACTACTTAGCAAAGTTGATAATAAGCAGACAAGTTCTTTTCAGAACTAATATCTTCTAAGCAGTAGTTATTACCACATGGTGTTACCTCAAACCGAAACGATAAGGGTTACAGCTAGTTTGTGGTAAAACATGTGCACATCTAAGGTGTGATAAATATAATGTTATTCATGTAAGACAGACTTGTTTTGATGTGACTGAAAAACAAACCAGCCATCTACCGTATGGAGCGTTTGCCAATGCACAACTCCGCAATCGTGTAAAATAATTGTAAATGTATCATTTCGTGGTAATCACGTTGATCGTATTTCTCTAGCTTAATCTTATTATTCTAGTGCAAGAAAAATCTGATTCTCTCATACTTACTATGAAAATCATTATAAAGCGGAGTGTACACTGATGCTGCTTGTAAAAATCCTCTCGACCCGCCCTCCAAAATGCAAGTAAACTAACATTGGATGACCAAACCACACCCACTCACTGTTTTAGATTGTTTGCCGATCTTACTATAACGTGTTAACGTTTGGGGGCGGGAACCAATATGTTCTCCGACCACTGTGGGTGGGGCTATATTCATAAAAGGCTCCCTGATTGGTTCGTGCGTTTTGTACCTACACAACCACTGCAGCTGATGGCTTTTAAATGTGAAACTATAAACGTAGCTGCAGTAAACATTAAATCGATGGGTTTTTTCAGTAATTATTAAAACATTCCCAAAGAAAGTTCTTTTTTTTTACCACTTTCCGAATCGTAGAATATACAGACTCCCTCCCAGCCGAGTTTCCACACCAGGTCCAGAGCGGCTTCGCTCAGGAAGAGTAGACTCGGTCTCACGTTGACTGTAAAACTGTTATGCTTCTCTGACGGGCACTCCTCGCCTGGCACAATCATGTGGGGCACATCGAAAGAGTTCGTCAACGACTGGAGGGCGAGACTAGTCTCGCAGCTTGTAGACGACACGATTGCGGTGATGCTTGTATTTAACATTGAACACGCTGATAAGAAAATATAAATTAAAAAAAATTAAGTTGACATTTTGAAAGAAATCCAATTTTACAATTGATTGGACTTAACACCGGCAATAATTCTGAGGATATCTCAGTGTGCAAAATCTCGTTCAATATAAATTTTGACAAGATCCTTCTTTTGAAGCATAAAGAATTGATCAGGTATAAATGATCTCCACATTTGGTCAGAATATTAAGACCTTTCGCTGTCACTGAGAAGTATGCATCCAATCGACCCGCCAATATCGCCCCTAAAGGAAATATTAAAAACGTAATGTAGACATTAATAAATCTAGAAATGCCAATAACTGTTCTAATGACAACCACGTTTTGACATCTCTATATGAACAGACTCCTTTAAAATAGTCCATTAATTCTCCCACCCGGTGACGTCACGCGTGACGTCACCGACGCGGGCGGTCAATCCCCTCATTTGACTTAGGATTCCACGATTGATTAAAAACGAGGTGATGGGCAAAATGAGACACGAGAGAAGAACTTTCTCCAATGTGCCGCAGGAAACACATGCTATACGGACTGCCGGGGCTTAGTTTTATTTGCTGGTGGTGTTTAGTTCTCTGGTCCGGGTTAATATCGATGACTCTGGTCCGTATTCCTGGGGGCGATGCTTCGTAGGTTACGGGTAGACCTGTGCGGGAATTAACGCTTTAATGCTCCGGGTATCAACACGGCGTGCGGTGTACTTTGATGAAATTTACACAGATTTCAAAATATTGTATTGTTCTGAATACATACAGAATTTCGCAGTCCTAAGGTAGAAATAGCGTGAGCCAAAACATTTCTGCGATTAGCTCTCCATTTTTTTTTCATCAAAAGAGCTTAAAACTGACCAAAAAAGACATTTTGCCAAATTAAAATGCTTCCACGGAGCAATGACTGCAGAAGCTTTGCTCTTTTGCGTTAAAAACAGGTTCAGTTTTTCGAAATGCAATGTATGAATTTTACAGGCCATCGTAGTATCTACTACAATTTCATGTTAAATGTGGTGTGTCCTTATGAAATTTACAGGCCATCGTACATTTTCTTGTCATGTATTTGTAAAAATTTGTTCCCGATGGTACACTGTGTTTGAAAAAATATCATAAAACTGTGTTTGAATAGTTGTCTAGACGGCAAGTTTCCCTTGTTATTAATGACAGTCATTTTGCTATGATAGTCACACGTGTACAAACAACTAAGGTGGGCTGTACCAAAACCTATACCCTGAGGTGTCAGGTGCTTGCAAACCAAGGTCTTGTGCTTTTTGTCATGGAATGATTATACACGACAGTCATGCTGATAATATGACAGCCACACGTGGACCAATAAATTGAGGTGTATGGTTAGACACCTAACCACTCTACCCAAGGGCTTACAGGTGTCATCATAAAACCCATGTCTGCTTAGTCTCGTGGTTGAGACAGCTGGCACTTCACAGTGCTTCACTCGGCTCTTCAGTGGAATAGTCCACTGGAATCATGTTGTCATATGATATCATTATTATTACCAGTAGCTACGGTACTAACGCGCACTGTACAATTTACCCCTTTCAGGTTGGAGTGATCGTTTCCTCTTTCATAATTACTAATTTGGTTTTTAGTACTCACACGAATCTATGCCCACCGTTGTCAATCATTTACCTTATCAATGGCTTGCAATAGCGTTGTCAGCGAGTTAGTAATATACCTGTTCGTAATATACCAATTATTTGGTCTGTCACGAACATATAAACGTGTCGTGAATGTGACAGTGTTTTAATTAGCCCTTCCTGACAAAACACGGTGAATGGGTCATTCTATAAAAGCTGGATGCGCTCCCCAATACAGTCGTCCTCAAGAGTGAGTATATGAATAGCAAACGTAACATGTAACACATCTTGTTAAGTCATTCTTTATGATATTTGAATGGTAAATTACAAATATCAGAGGTAATGGAGACAGGAACAATGTCACACGTTGGACCCTAAAGCTGTAGCATCACCAATATGACTGAATTTAATAACACAAGTTATGTGAATACTGGGACAAATTGCAGAGTTTAACGGTTCAAATCTAGCTGCTTTCGATTTATAAACTTCATTTTGCCAATCAACATACACAAGTGGAGGCTGATAGTAAAAATTTAATGAGTCAAGGAAATCAAACTTCCCTAGTAGTAAGAATATATAGCCAAAAATGAAGGGTTAGTTTCCATACAAATGCATTCGAAAAAAAAAAGGATTCACTTCAGTAGTGGAGTACAGGTAAGTCATTAACATGCATCACAGCTATCAAGATATTTGGGTCTCGTTCATGACCCTTTAAAACAAAATCAGACGCCAATCCTCGGGAGACGGTGCAATCAATAATTGAGATACAAGAACCTGGGAAATGACCTTCCGGTCCACTGGTTCGGTGTTGCTGCGATTTTACCGCCCGATTAGCGCCGCAATTGACCCAGTTAAACGTCATTGAGATCTCTCGCTGGTATCCCTAGCGGGACCTTCATTGGTTCCGAGCGATCAATAGAAATGAAATAACTTATGCAATTAAGGGGCTGGAAGATAAACATTTATGGGATGGATGCGGTGCCGATATATAAAAACGGGATGAAGAAAAACGAAAGAGAAAAAGAACTAGAGATGCTTAAGAAACTACTGGCTACGACTATTGATCGCGTGTTTTAGCTTGGATGGTTGAGTGGATGAGCCAACAAACCGTATATCATACAGCTAGACGTTCCATAAACTTAGTCAAATTATTGAAGTATTATTTTATCCAACATAAAACATTTAAGGGGTTGCGATCTGCTTGATATCACATACCTTCAATACAAGACCAGATTAACTGTAAGGGAGACCTTGGTTTCAATCTTTGTCGAATCTCACCAACTATACTGTTTTAAACATCGGGAATGAGTAAGCTATCTTCTTCTAAAGAAGCTCAAATATCAACGATAAGAATTATTATAAAACGAATTTCATATAACACAAATATTCACTTGGGGAAAAACAAACGCCCATATTGACCCCACCAACATGCTGGGTACGTAGCTTGCAAAATTTCACAAGTTTACGAGCCCACTGTAATTCACTTTATTAAAAAAAAAGTTTATGGTAAAACAAAGAAGTTTAAGGTAAGCACCAGGCGAACTCTACTTCATGAAATCAATTAGAAGATGAATTTGAAAGCATTATTGAACCTTCGATGGAGGAGCAATATTGCAGTGAGACGTCAAAATCAGCTGTAAAGTGGATTCTGACATCGTCTTGTGAGGGTCCAATGACCGAAGAAGTATGTTGTCCAACCCCGATAAATAGGTTTAATAGGTATACCTAATATAATAGGTATTGGCATTATAGAGAACAACGCCGTGAACAATCAATGGATGAAGAGTGGAAATTACACTAGCCTGGCCTGCGTTTTTAAACTCAAACTGGCCTCATGACGTCACGGGGTAAAATGATGTACATGTTCGTTTACAATTACACTATGACCTTGGGTCAGCTGACTGGTAGCCATTACCAGGATTCATAGCGTCATAATCGCAGATTCAGTGGGACCAGTTTATTACAGGTATAAACTAAAAAGAAAGTGACATAACGAGAAAAAAATATTTTTAATAATTAAGTGGCTCGCTCCTTTTCATACACATCACATAGGGATAGAGTACATATTATGGACTAGTAGGCCTATCTATGAAAATCACCTTTTCTCGAGCTCAAAGCCAAAATTATCTATACAAAGATTTGAAAGGCCTCATCTTACTGGTTGATCGTAGTGGTATGGTTTTGATAACTCGGGTTTGCTCCATACTACTGCACTATGGATACAAGAGCTTGCTATGATGAATGATCTCGATTATGATAATCTTGATGGACACAAATTGATTACCACCCTTTCCTTCCAAACAGAATCTTGCATCGCTCAAGCCACTGCGCTGGCAGTTCACCTGCTTGTAAATTCAAAACCCACAAGCGCAGAGAAGGATCGTCCACAGAGACCGGCTGCGAATGTCGTTGAGCCGCTTGTCTCTAGTATTGACTCGGAAATCTCGAAGGAGAACTCAAGACTGAAAAATAACTTGTCCAATGGTTTGCTGAAGTATTCCCTTAAGATCTTAAGATCATACCTTCTGCGAATGTTTAGAATGCCTCGCTGTGGTATTTCCCACTAGTTAAAGTTGCCGAGCAAGACAAATTATATGCTGAACATTATTGCGCAAGGAAGTGGGCAACGTGCCAAAAGTGTCACATGCTTCGCTTGTGACTGGATTCCGACTATTACTTTCTTTGCAAAGTGTTCAATTTCGAAGGTTATTTCCATGATAACATAGAAAATCAACAACAAACAAATGGAGCTCCTGTTACAGATTTTAACATTTACACTATAAAAATAAAAACATCCAAGCCACAGTAATCCAGTCTCTTTAAAGTCCAATCATAGCACTTCCACTGGTGGATGGAGATGGCTCCGGAGCTGTCAAAAATTAACGCTTGAGTGGAGACTAACGCGAAAAAAGTCCGTAGTTCGCGGTGAATAAGTAACCCGTGGACTCGGATTCTTGCAGGGGGGTGTTGGTATGAGGAGACGGCAATAAAAGTGTAAAGTAATTCCAATTCGAATGGCTGAACGTAAAACTTAGACCAGTCAAGACAAGGAATGGTGAGTGTTTTGTTTTTGGTGGGAAATAAAAAATTATGTTAAAGAGAATATGGCCATGTCGGTGAGCAAATCTCTTTGAAAAAAAAATCGGCATTTGACAAAGATTTTCCTAGGATCGGTGGTTAAACCCTCTACTTTTGTTTTTGACTTTTTAAATTTCACAAGAATTGGAATTCGTACAATTTTTATTCCAAGTTCTGATCGTATTGTTTTTTCGATTGTGATATATATACTTATCAGAAGACGCTTCTTATCAAGATACGCTAGTAAGATTTCTGAAGACAGACACACAACAATAATTGGGAACGTTTGTTCTTCAAGGCAAAAACATGCACATTGCAATTC